TTTCCATTTATTTATTTATTTTGATAAGTTTAAGATTCCATGTAATGTTTGTAGAAAAATATTTAAAAATCATTTTATAAAATAAAGTTAGATCTAGGTTTGTTTTTTTTAGTTAGATTGTTTTGTAATTTCGAGGTTGTCTCCTTTATGTGTGTTTCTTTGTCTGTCATGGAATCTATTTTTCTCTCGATCTCTGTGAATATGTAGATCCATACTGTGAGAATCCCATATTAGTTGGAGGAGAACGAAACACTCTTTATAAGGATGTGGAAACTTTTTCCTAGTCGAAGCGTTTTAAAAACTTTGAGAGGAAACCCGTAAGAGAAAGTCCAAAGAGGACAATATCTGCTAGCGGTGGGCTTGGGCTGTTATAAATGGTATCAGAGTCAGACACTGGACTATGTGCCAGCGAAGAGGCTGTTCCCCAAAGGAGTAGACACGAGGCAGTGTGCTAGTAAGGATGCTGGGCCTCGAAGGAAGCGGATTTAGTGGGGGTCCCACATCGATTGGAGAAAAGAACGAGTGTCAGCAAGAATGCTGGGCCCTGAAAAGAGTGGATTGTGAGAATCCATATTAGTTAAGGGGAGAACTAAAGACCATATATGAAGTGTGGAAACCGCACACACGTTTTAAAATCCTTGAGGGGAAGCTCGAAAGGGAAAGTCCAAAGAGGACAATATCTGCTAGCGTTGGGCATGGGCCGTTATAAATGGTATCAGAGTCAGACACTGGACTATATGCCAGCGAAGAGGCTGTTCCCCAAAGAGGTAGACACGAGGCAGTGTGCTAGTAAGGATGCTGGGCCTCGAAGGAGGCGGATTTAGTGGGGGTCCCACATCGATTGGAGAAAGGAACGAGTGTCAGCGAGAATGTTGGGCCCTGAAAATAGTGGATTGTGAGAATCCATATTGGTTAAGGGGAGAACTAAAGACCATTTATGAAGGTGTGGAAACTGCAGACACGTTTTAAAAACTTTGAGGGGAAGTTCGAAAAGGAAAACTCAAAGAGGACAATATCGGCTAGCGGTGGGCTTCGGGCATTACACATATTGTACACCCTCATAGTTATACGCCTTATTAATATCTATTATCAGATAACGTATCCTTTGTTAGTGATGGTATGATTGCATTCATTACTCGTTTTGTAATATTAAATTATCTAATAATAATAAATTATCTTACCAAATATTATTACCATAAAATAATCATTTATTTATTTTTAGTAAAGTAAAAAATCAATATGATAATCATTATGTTATTTTTGGTAATTACAAAAGAAATCTTACTTTCGTACTTTTTCAATTAGTTTTTTTATGGTAACAATTTATCTATATTTTTTAATTTAAAAAAGAAAATGTTCATTTTTAATTAATATTTTACCATAATATATGTCTTTATAATGGGACAAAATTACTTATTTTATTTGACCAACAAAACTATTACCATTTGAATAACACAACAAAAACTATTTGATAAAATAATTAAAGCAATACCGAGTGTCTCTTCACACATGATCAACCAATCGAAAAAAAAATCACAACACCTTCTGTTGAAGCAAAATTTGAATTCAATCGGACAAACTATGTTCTTTGTAAGATCGTATAAACAATGCCGTTTTTCAAGACCATCTCTTGAGGGAACAATGAGCATCGGTAGTTGAGGATGTTAGATGAAAGTGTACCACATTGGTTAATTTAGGGAATGGTCATGGGTTTATAATCTAAGAATACACTCTCCATTTGTACGAGGTCTTTTAGGAAGCCCAAAACAAAGCTATGGAGCTTATACTCAAAGTGGACAATATCACATCATTGTGGAGAGTCGTGTTCCTCTAACAGCGGAAACTTGGGAGTAATGGAGTAACAGAGGAAAATAATATTCCTTATTTTAAGCTGTCTTGTCTTTTATTCTTTTTTAATCATATTTAATGGTCTGGAATCCACTCAAAGTCATCATATGTAGTAATGGGAGGAAGATAAATCACAGTCCCAGAAAAAGGGTAACTTGGGGGTAATGGAGTAACAGAGGAAAATAATATTCCTTATTTTAAGCTGTCTTGTCTTGTGTTCCTCTAACAGCGGAAACTTGGGAGTAATGGAGTAACTTGGGGGTAATGGAGTAACAGAGGAAAATAATATTCCTTATTTTAAGCTGTCTTGTCTTGTAGTAACTTGGGGGTAATGGAGTAACAGAGGAAAATAATATTCCTTATTTTAAGCTGTCTTGTCTTGTGTTCCTCTAACAGCGGAAACTTGGGTCCTTATTTTAAGCTGTCTTGTCTTGTGTTCCTCTAACAGCGGAAACTTGGGAGTAATGGAGTAACTTGGGGGTAATGGAGTAACAGAGGAAAATAATATTCCTTATTTTAAGCTGTCTTGTCTTGTGTTCCTCTAACAGCGGAAACTTGGGAGTAATGGAGTAACAGAGGAAAATAATATTCCTTATTTTAAGCTGTCTTGTCTTGTGTTCCTCTAACAGCGGAAACTTGGGAGTAATGGAGTAACAGAGGAAAATAATATTCCTTATTTTAAGCTGTCTTGTCTTGTGTTCCTCTAACAGCGGAAACTTGGGAGTAATGGAGTAACAGAGGAAAATAATATTCCTTATTTTAAGCTGTCTTGTCTTTTATTCTTTTTTAATCATATTTAATAGTGGTCTTGAATCCACTCAAAGTCATCATATGTAGTAATCGGAGGAAGATAAATCACAGTCCCAGAAAAAGGGTTGAATAAAGCAATACCGAGTGTCTCTTCACGCATGAGCAATGTTCTATTAAAGCAAAATTTGAAGTCAACCGGGCGAACTATGTTCCTAGTGAGATCGTATAAGCAATGCTGCTTTTTCTAGACCATCTTTTGAGAGAATATTGAGCATAGGTAGTTGAGGAAATTTGGAAGTAATTATGGAGCGTTGGTGTTCGTGACGTAATGCAAGAAAATACCAAGACTTACATATCAAGCTGAATTGGAGATAATCACAGAGAGACGTCATTTTATTGAGAATCACACCAAGAACATCGTAGTCAAGTGCAGTCCAATCTCGAAATTTCGAATAATCCATGATTTCTCTTCTTAGTTTTGTACCTTTGTTGCAGTCAAGTGAAACCATGGTTGTTATTGCTAGTAATTTTTATACTCTAAAAAAAATTAAAAATAAGAAATATATTTAAATGGGCAAATATTTTATTTGAGTAAATAATAATAATAAAATATATGCATTTAATGTGAAAAAAAAAAAAAAACTTTGAATATACGTTCTTCTACAATGTAGACACGTATATAGATAAATAATTTATCTAACCTCTACACATTTATATAATTTTAATAAGATAATATGGACGTACATGCACGCGCACATGAACTCCCAAGCGAGCTCGTATAGGTACCCATGCTCCTTGTCTCCAACTAGAATACACTCACGCTATCGGTATACAACAAAGGAAAGGGAGCGTGCATAGTATTATGATGTACATAATACCGTATCATAACGTCATGACAAACATAGACATTGTAAGTTACATGTCCGTATTGATCATAACAGAGAAGTATCCCGATGCACCTGAACACACAATATGCATAAGGTCCCCCATAGTTTTAAATCATGGCATCATTCTTTTCATACCTTACATAATCATCTCATATCATTACATAAGGTAAATGTACCATACTTTCATAATATGTCACATTCATCAATAGCATAACGAGTAAACATGACATGACAACATAACATTCTTCATCATAACATAATAAGCGAACATAACAATCACAAGGTAGCACACGCCACACGCCATTCATGCTTCAAACAATTCATCCAACCCAAACAGTAGTGAAGTTACTCACCTGAGTAGCATAAGCTGAAGTCACTAACTAATTCTTGAAGCTAATCCAAACTCATACCCTGAACTCCAAATTAACCTATGTGAGTTCACGACATCACATTAGAACTCATTATTTGATCCTATCTACGTAACATTTACAATTAAGCCCCTAAATTAGTTTTCTCTAGCGATTGAGAGAATCCAAAAGATTGAGGGACGGGGTTTAGGAGATATTTTAAAGAAAGTGGAAAAATATCGATTTTTTATTTATTTATTTTATTACGCACCATACAGATATTAGATTTAAATTTGAAAATTCTAAAAGTTATTAGACATTAGCTATCTTTAAACAAAATAAATAAATAAATAAAAAATTAATGACCTAAAAAGTCCCACCAACCCAATTCACCGTGGTAATTCGGTTGAATTATAAACTTATTTAAGTTGAATTAAGTTTAAATAAATAAACAAACAAGGGTTTCCAAAACTAAATTGAAATTTAATTTATTATTAATTTTAAAATATACATTTTTACTTCTAATACATGTAATTATTAATTTATATTTTATATTTATTATCTATTTTCCTAATAATATTTTAAAATAATATTTTTAATTATTTAGAAGACTTATTCTAGACGTTTTTTCAAAATAGAATATTAAAAATGAATTTCAAATATAAATTAAACTCTTGAAAATAAATAAATAGATGTTTTAAAGATTAATATTTTATTTTTATTAAAAATAAAATATTAAATAAACGAACTAAACAACCTTGGGTCCAAAAATATTTTAATCATCAACCCAATTTATAAACAATCTTAAAAAAACATTTTAAAATTCATAAATTTATTAAATAGAAAATTAAAATTTTAAAATTTTAAAAAATTTAAGAACCTAACGTATGAGAATGGTCAGCAAAATTTTTAGTCCTTTTTTTTCTTTTAAAATAAAATAAAGGAATTTAAAATAAAAGGAATTAGAATTAAATAATAATAATAGGTACGACCTGGTAAAAGGCGGGAAAATCATGAAAAGCACGTGAAGTACACGCTCTGAGTAATCGCGTGAGTATTTTGTTTGTTTTCCCACGGCAAGTCAAGTCAATTTTCACAGTTGTGCGTCGGTTAGGAGTAAATTTCTGGTTTTCATTTCTATAAAGTCCGAAAACAGAGAGAACTCGGAAACAACACGGAAGCGAAAACGAATTGAAAAGGAGGAAAGATTACATGGCCGGAAGTTTGGTTTCCGTCGTGGCGGTGGTGGTGGTGGTGGTGGCCGTCGGATTCGTGGAGGCGCAGCAGCCGGACTGTGCTTCTAAGCTAGCGAGTTGTGCGGAGTTCCTGAAATCCAATAATCCGCCGGCGACGTGCTGCAATCCGATAAAGGAAGCGGTGGCGACGCAGCTCGATTGCCTCTGCAACCTCTACACCTCGCCGGATTTCTTTTCGTCGATCGGCGTTAATGTCTCCGACGCTCTCCATCTCACTAAGGCCTGCGGCGTTCCTGTCGATCTCTCCAAGTGCAAAAGTACGACTGTTGATTCCTTCGATTTTCCTCAATTTGGTTCTCTGATTGATTAATTGACTGAATTTTCTTTTCTGCTCCGCCGTTGATTTTACAGCTGGTGCTCCGGCTCCGTCACACGGTTCTCCGGCTCCGTCGCACGGTGCTCCATCTCTACCGGCAGGTAAATTTTTCCAACTTGATGGCTATTTTCGTCATTTCACGTTTTTATTTTCTGCAAATCCGTTGATATTTTTTTATGATATTTAATGATATTGACAGCTGGATTTTTTTCTGAATAAATTAATTGGGTTTTTTCAGTCAACCAACTTTGACCTTGAGAAATAAAACGATAATTAAATTTAGGCTAAATATCTAAATGATTTAGGGCCGTTGATATTTTAGTCCACCCACTACTATGAATTATTTTTATTTTTATTTAGTTGTATTTTAATAGTTAAATTAATAAAAATATCTATAAGCTTTTAAAAAAAATAATTAAAAAAATTTAGTCTTTTGAAATTCCATTAATACCCTTAATTTTTTATTGAAAAAAAAAAACTCACTATTTTTCTTTAGGAAAAAATCAAAGGTCATTTTTGGAATATTAAATTTAATGTGAAACCCTTTTTTTCCTTTTCATTATATGATTTTTCAAAGCAAACCAAACTTGGGTCCCACTTTCTTAATTGATAAGCTAATGAAAAATGTCTTCTTTCCATTTTTTTTATTAAAAAAAAAATTAATGTCTTTTTTTTAATTATTATTTTATAAAATTTAGTGATTTATGTTTAATCATTTAAAATTTTATTAAACATAAATTTAAAATTTTTGAATTCTAATATATATAAAATTAATTTTTTTTAAAGTTATATAATATAATATCACGAACCATTCTTAATTCATGTTTCTAGAAATATTTACATTATGTGTTTGTAATATTTTATGTTTTTTTTTTTTTTTTTTTGGAACAGTGGGTGGATTTACATTTCTGCTGTTGTTCTTCGTCTCCCTCGTCTTTTATTAGCATCTCAGATATCGTCCATAATCAATTGAACGTGTTCGGGTACCTAGCATCGACCAACTTTGTATGTAGTTTAGGGGTTAAAAGTAAGGGAAAAGCAGCTTATTTGTTTGATTTGAGTAGAAGTCTCGTGGTGATTTTATCACTTTTTCATTAATGTAATTGTTTTATATTTGAGTTATAGTATGCGAAGATTCCAAGTCTAGTTGAAGGAATTTCAATTTTATATTTAAGAAGTCATTGAATTTAAAAAAATGTTTAATACATCAATAAAATAAACGTTTTTTATTTTGTTCTTAAAGGTCTCGTTAAGACTAAAATTTTAATTTAGTGTCCAATAAATCATGAATTATTTTTTTAAAAAAAATTAGGAAGACGAGCACTTATTTAACACAAAATTAAAAAAAATGTATATTTCTAAAATCACCCTTTTTAAGTCACCTAAAATTTTAGAAATTTATTAAATATTTTTTAAAATTTAGCATTAAATAGACACAAATTCATGGACTAAATTATAATTTATTATTTATTTAATTAAGACACTATTTTTCTTACATGCCCTTACAAAATTTCCTATTTCTGATAAATTGAAAATAAACCATTAAAAACATATTTTAAATATAAAATTAAAAATTTAAAGATTTATTTCTAAAATTTATAAATTTGTTACTCACCCCACCCGCCCTAATTTAACTAATTTAATGCTAAAAAATATAAACTAATATCAATGTATGTAAATATTTTAACGAAGCATTTTCAAATATATGATTAATGTATGAATAGATTATTAACATGTAAGAATCATATAAAGTATAACGTTTGTATTTCAATAATATATCAATACTTGTTCAAAAATGCATTTTAAGTATATTATTAGTATATTAAAAATATATATATATATATATATATATATATATATATATATATATATATATATATATATATATATATA